GTGTGTGTGTGTGTGTGTGTGTGTGTGTGTGTGTGTGTGTGTGTGTGATTCTGGTAAATAAAATCAACTTGAGGATAGCTGTTGGACACAGGCTAGAGCAGAACGGGCGTAAGCATTAGACACAGGAGTTTGGAGTTCCAGTTAGCGGTTACCTGTGTAACTCAAGTCTCCCCAACCTGAGGACAGATTAACAAAATTACATCAGGCCTGCCACCTCCTGATCCCACTTGTCCATGAGGGGCCCAGTTCCTATTGAATGCCCCTCCAATATTTTGATCTGTGTCAATGGGTGTAGCTACTTCTCGGCCATCTTCCACCGAGTACCACCTTCTTCCTGTGCCAGGCCACCCCCCGGGCGCCACACGCACAGCACAGCCGCATGCCATGTTTTCTCTTACTTTCCATTCTCTATCACACTCAGTTGGAGCATTCTCACAGCAGGACTGCCCCACTCCCTATATATATTTTCCAGAGTTTTAGAGGAAGATTTCCCTCTTATTTCCTACCCATGCTGCTCTCCACTGAGTCCCACGTTAGGTCCAAAAGTGCTACACCAGGAGCAGAAGTAGATGATGGTCTCACTGTGCATGGCTGAGGCTTTCCTTTAGAACTCACTGGTTCTAGCTGGCTTCTGTCCTCAAGGCTTCTGTGTCTCAGGAAATTTAGCCTCCTAGGGTCTGTGCTGTGGACTGAATGTATCTTCTCCCCCTACCCAATTCATATGTTGAAATCCTAATTCCCAATGTGGCATCATTGAAGGTGTGGACCTTGGGAGGTGATTAGCTCATGAGGTTAGGGCCCCTATGAATGGGATTAGTATCCTTGTAAGATTGCTATCTCTACTCTTTGCTGTGTGATGATACAACGGAGAGATGGCCACCTGCAAACTAGAAGCAGGGCTCTCATCAGACAGGGGATCTGCCAGCACCTTGATCTTGGACTTCCCAGCCTCTAAAGCCATAAGAAGTAAATTTCTGTTGTTGAAGCCCCCCTGTCTATGATATTCTGTTATACTAGCCCGAATGGACTAAGACCGTCCCACAAGGTTTTGTTTTGTTTTCAGATGTCTCTAGAAATGTCTGCACCCATTTAGACTTTACCTTCCTCTTCTCCTGCCCCGCTACACCTGCCTTTTAAAACTCTCCTTGCTTTTCTAACGTTCATTCATTCCATAGATTTATTTGAAGTGTATTTATTATATGAAATGTTTCTCAAGCTATAAAATGAAATCGCGTTCCACCTCCAAGCAGTGCTGAAAATGTCCTGTAACTTAAAACCTTATAACTAGAAACATTAGGCTTATGGAAAACTGGGGGACTTGTGACTATAATTTATCATGTATATTCAGTTTTAAGAGGTGATTTAAACCCAAACACTGAAATAGATTTAAAGGGTTTTATTAAAAATATTTACTCAAAAATTACACCTTAATGAAACTGCAGTATGTGTCATTTTACAGCTCCAAATTGCAAAGTAAGCCATTAAAATTTGTGGATACTTACCTAGTTCTCCTGGTGGTAAGCTCTGGGAGGAACTGAAGGTTTGCAGAAGTTGGAATGGTTCTGGGGCTTCCTGGGGGTGGCTGGGTGGGTGGGGTAGGAAAAGGAATGGGCCCCTCCTCCTCTTTTAACTTCCCTATCCCCTACCCCTTTTCTCCCTATTTTCTGTGCTGGCCTTAATTTATTTCTGTTTGCCCATAAAATATCTCCACTTGGGGGGAGGCTGGGAGATAGGCCAGGATTCAGAGAGGAAGAAAGGCATTCAACACAAATTTAATGTCTTTTGAAAGTTCTTCAACATTTTCTTCTCCCCTTGGAGACCAGATTACGTGCCGGCCCCACAGTTTCTTGTGTCACCTGGGGAGTCTAATGTGGAAATGAGAGAAGGAGGGGTTGGGCATAGATGTGCCTCTGCACCCCCACCTAATCCTTCCCTTCCATATTCTCTCCTCCCCCACTCTGGTCTATCCTCTATTTCAGCTTTTGGAAATTCAAGCAGCAACTCATCCCTGCTCAGACAAACCCCCAACAATGGGGGAGTCACTGGCCTTTGTGATTTACTTGAATCAGAACACCAGAATTCCTGTGTCTGGGTTAAAATCAGTAAGGATGGGATCATATAGGGGAAGCGAAGGGGTCAGTTTTGGGCTGTGGGGCTTTGGGAGAGAGATCTGGAGGAGCTGCCATGGCTTGTGGTCACTGGAGGTTGGTGTGAGAGCCCTGGGTCTTGGGAAGTCTTTTCTGATTTTCCCAATTCTGAGTGAGGTGTCTCTCCTACATGCTCCCCAGGTAGGTGCAGACTACATGATGCAGACTACATCCAGAGCAGCACAGCATCCCCAGCCTATAGCCCTAGCTCCTAGAAGGAACTCTTAAGATTACCTGTCTAGGAATGAAGTGGGCTGCCATATCAGAAAGATCACTGGACTAAGACTTAGAAGACATGGGGATTTCCTGTTCTAGCAATTAACAGGGCTGGACACTCAGTTTCTCTAAACCTGTTGTTTTTAAACACAAAATGATGCAATCTAGCCCATTCTACTTAGGAAATAATGGAGCAAAATGAGAACATGGATGCAAAATGGCGTTATAGACTATATAGTGCTGGTCACATATAAAATATTATTATCCAGATGAAGCTTCAGCAAATAAAGGTAGGATCCTGGCCATTCTATGTAAAACGAGTGCTGTACTTGTGGTGTAGACTTTCATAAAATTAGCTCTCTAGCCTCCAAATGAAAATATAAAATTGAATAAAATTACAATAATAAACAATTATGAAATAATAACACTTTAACATTTTGTGACTATTGCATTTAGTATGTGTTAGGAAACAATGCTAAACACTTGGCATGCATTGCCTTTTTAAAAACTCTGTGCAATCATATGAAGTAGATATTTTTATGACCCTTTTTTCTCTAGGGCTAAGAATGTCATGTGACATATGGTGGGCTGAAGTCAAGTGAGATCTCTCTGACTTTGGAGCCCAGCTCTAAACTGGACTATAAACATGTTAAATAGCCACTAGAACTAACTTGAACTTCCTTAGAAAGGAAGTCTTAACTAAAGACCTGTGTCTGAATCTTGCTACCTGTAAAATGTTAATAGTCGGTTTTCTCAAAGAACTACAAGGAATGATTGTTTCCCGAATATCAGTGGCACCCCAGGAAAGATGTGTGGTGTATGGGAGGGTGGGGTGCCTCACAGGCCAGGCCAAGCAATACTCTGTGTCTCTTGCTTTCATTAACATTAATTCTGGTTTTTACTTTTGTGAGAATCTTCTAAGGCCTAGGAGATTCCATTTGCCAAAGAGGATTTGTGTGGGCTTCAACCAGATGTTCCAGATAGCTTACTGGGAAAACTTTTAAATTAACTTCTCTACTTAGGGTGTTCTCAACCATGCAGGTGGTGTAAATTAAACCCCACACCCACAGAAAGACAAGCACAAGGCTGTGAATTTTCCAGGAAATCTTTTTTTCACCGCTCAGAACCCAAATCAAGTCATGCATATTTCTTGTCATCTCCTTTTGCCGGTACACCATTTTTTCCCCTTAATCTACACTTTGACTTTTCAAGTCCCAGATTTTGACAGGAGCCCTAGTTCTAGCTCCCCATCTGGCACAGACCTGGTCCCCTTTGTCATCATTAAAACCCAAGGGCACCAACCCCCTCATCACCACCTGCCTTGACGTTTACTTTCCACTCTGGATTGTGGCTTCCCCTCTTTATTTTTGGCATCCCGGGGTTTCCTCGACAGTCTTGTTTCTTATTATTTCCTAGCATTTCTAGGTGTTTGGTACTAGGCAGGGTTTTCTGAATATGTAGTCTGCTACACTGGCAGGAAGAGAACCCCACCAATATTTTTCCATAAGTAACATCTGGTTAACAATTAACATGAAAAGAGGAAGAAAAGAAAGAGCCTGCCACCTGAACGGGTCAGTGGCCCTACTCTTCAAAGCCGAAGTCAGGCTGTATAACAAGTTTCTTAGGAGTTCAAGGGATGGAGCGTGAAAAATCAGAACTGGTCCAAGAGATCATGAACAGAGGGGAGACAGGCATCACTGCCATCAGAGCTCATTCTGACCCGGGGCTGAGGAGAGCGTGTCTCCAGAGACCAGCTCAAGTGCGAACCACCACTGCTTCCCAGGCCTGCCTGAGTCACCCCCAGTCATCCTGTCTCCCCGGAGGGCAGAGGAGGCCCAGACAAGAACCCCAGCCTCTTGCCCTGGGGAAGATCTCTGCCATGGCCTTGAGTGCCTCCAAGAACAGGTTCTGCAAAAACACATTATATGTTCAAATGCTAAGTTTTTCTGCCCCTCTCTTTTCTTATAACAGGCCAGGAAAGAACTCAGAGAAGTTTGGATTAGCCATAGGACAGGAGAATTGAACACTTGAGTCAAATATCCAGCTTATTTGGTCACATTGCTAAACACAAGGTGGCAGTGAGTGTTCTTGGTCGAACTATTCTAATCAGTCAGTGCTGGGTGTATTTCTGAATCAGCAGATGGACTGACTTGGGCAGGATTGGTGGCGGTGAAGGTGGCAGTTGGGTAGGGGAGTGGACGGTTAGGAAGGAGAGCTGCCCTTCAGACTGACAGCTGAGCTGTGCTTACTTCATCTTGCACACAGTCACACGTGAAGCTCACTTACCTCACTGAACTCTTCTTATTTCTTCCTACATTGGATTGTCATCTTTGTTATTAAATCTGGGTCACACTCGGCATGCTTATTATTGAACAGCCACCTGTCTTCAGCTGGAGGAGAAGAAATGCCTCCACCAAATTAATCAGCCCCTGGTGATTGGTCCTGGGGGCACTTGCCATGTCAGACATACTTCCCCAATGGAGACCAAATTCAAATTTATCCTAGAGATGGGAAACTTTAGACTTCAAAAGGGCAGTGCTCTTAGAGTTTACATTTTTTCCTCATTCCTTTAGAGCTGCCAGTTCTTTAGCCACTGAGAATCTGCTTTGTATTTTAAATTCATAGTACTTTGGTTAATTTTAAGACTGGAAGTTGTTTTTTTTTTTTTTCTCCTTACAGCTTTCAAACCAAGGTCCAGAAAGGTCTGGTGATGTGCCCAGGATCACACTGCACACTTGAGGCAGAGTCTCTCATTCCTAGAGCAGTGTTTCCCCTTATCCTCAGTGCTTCCCATAAGATGGGAACAGACAAAGCAGATGAACATCTGGGAAATATCCTCCCTGCCCCCCCCACCCCCGACACCCAGCCAAAGTAGTGGAAGGAGTGGTTAGGGGGCCTTTCTTGCCTGCTGCGGATTCACTATAAATACTTGCCGAGTAGAGCCTGCACCCTGGGCTCTGTCCTTAAATCTCCAGCCTAACACATGCCATGTCTGGTGAGGAGCTTAAAGAAACAAACACTTGTTTTTGATTTTCTTCATAGGATCAGATCACTCCGGCAACTTATAAAGAGGGGACTATCGTTTTATAGGCAGGTAACTTCTCCAACTCTTGCTCCTTCCTCTGCTTCAAAGGATGTCATAGCAACAGGGCCCATGCCTATAGGTGCTCAAAGACCTTCATGTTAACTTTCCTGGACATACAACCTCAAAATCGATTCTTCTTTGAACCCAGGTCAGAGAAATCTAAACTGCCTAGAAAGTAAAAACAAACAAACAAACAAACCGTGAACCATCTCTTCCAGCCTTTGGGCCCCTATGATATTGGGGACTCATTCTTTATCCATCTCTGGGAAGAGGGGATTCCCAGTTTTAAAGAAAGCTCTGTTGTAAATATCTGGAAATTTTCTTCCCAGCCTCTGGATCCTCCAAGCTATGTTGGAGGCAGGGCTTGCCTGGGATCTCAAAGCAGAAGCAGTTCAGACAGGTCCTCTTTCAGCTGCTGGAGTGTGGGGTTGGATGCAACTGCCCTGGCCTTTGAATCTCTAGTGAGTGATGCAGAGAAATATGGGGGTGCTTACAGGTGAGTGCCGGCAGTCCCAGCAATGTTAGGAGTTGCTGAGTGTTGGGGACTTCCTGGAGAGCTGCTGTGACATCAGACCCTTCTGGCAATGACCTTGGCTGTGCTTTCAGGACCTGGCTTCCCTTGGCACCTGTATACCATCTACATCTAAGCCTAGCTCTGCATGGGGCCTGCTCATTGATTTTGCAAGTTATCCAATCTCCTTCCAAAAAATTCCTTTCCTGCTTCAGCTAGCTAGAAACAGTTTCTGTTGTTTGCAACCACAGATCCTGACTAACCCTGTCTCCTTAAAATTGTTTCAATGGGTGGGGGGGGGATTTTGGTGGTGAGCTATGCTCATGGCATCTTATTAAAAGGGAGCATGAATGTGAAAGCTTCATGATTGAGGTTTGCAGGACTTTGGCTTCTCCAGCTGCTGGCAGTGGGGACAGGAAAGGAGGTCATTTATAGTCAGCGGGGGGCGGGGGGGTGGTCTATGTTAAATCACCCATGTGACTTCTGCTACAGCTCCCACACCCGTTAAGTTAAAAACAGGTACTGACAGGCATCCTGTAGATTTTTCCAGCTCTGCCCTCCCTCTCTCTCTCTCTCTCTGGCTCTCCTTGCTAGTCAAAGTCAGGCCCCACAGCTGGATGAAATAAAATGGTTATATTGGGAGGCCTTAAAATTAGCATAGCTCAGTATGTTTTCAAGTTGAGGCCCTTCCCTGAGTAGAGAATGGAGGCTTTTTCTCACTTGCTCTGCCACAGCCGCTGGGATAAAGTCAGGAGCAGTCTGCTCCAAGGGCTCCCCTGAACCAGACCCAACACTCTCCTTCCCCATCCCTTCCAAATCCAGTCACTACTACACCCACCATGTACCACAGTGAAAGACAAGCCCACTCCATCAATGGCACATTATCATGTGGCTTTCCATTTTTCTTAATCACCTTATTCCTTTGCTCTTCCAAAGTTGAGGATAAATTATTCAACAAGTCTCCTGGGGTTAACTTTATGAGAACCTAAAGCCAGTGCCC